CATTTCTATATGCAGAAAAAAGTCTAACAGGAAATATTCCAAAATATTGACAGTAATGATTTCCTGATGGTAAACTTGTGGGTGGTTTTCATCTTCCTTTTAAATATCTCTATATTATCTTTAATTTCTCCGCTATGAGGATGTATTTTTTAAATGTGAAAAAAATCCTTAAGAGACAAAATGTAATTGTAGTAGAGAACATAGTGATTTAAAACAGAATGTCATCAGTGTGATAGATCTCACTTTTATTGCGAGCTAATTAATTATAAAGGACATTTTTTCCTATGGAATGCTAGTTCAGATGGTGTGATTTGCTATTTGGCCAGGGCTGAATCACCAAATAAACAAAGTGTGTGCTTAGGTCATCCATAAAGACAGGAAGACACCAAAACATTAGAATATTTGGAATACAATTGTTTGATTTTTGTGATTTCAGAGAAGTGTGGAAGCATTTGTTCAGAGAAAATATTAGAAAGATGTTGAACTGATGTACGCTTACTTTGTGACTTAATATTTTTATTTTTAAGAAAGTATAGGTAGCAAGACTCTTCAGGCATATGGGTAAGAGATGGCATAACTTTTTTCAAGCTATAGACCTAGAGAAATCTTAATTTAGTCCTAAGTACAGAAAATTTCTACATCACTAAAAACAAAACAATACTTCATCATGAAGTGCCCATTTGTCCAACAAAGTTATGACTTTCACCCAAACGAATGTTTCTATGCTTTTCTGAAATATCAAGAAGTGCAGATTTTCTCCTATTTTTTTTTTATGTGAGCCTTCTTTATTTCTAGCTGATGGCCTAAGCAGACAGTCTATTTAGTAACTCAATATGGCCAAAAGTAAATCTGAAATAGTAAAAAAAAATCCAAATAAATATGAGTTAGCCACACAATGCAGACTTACTATATTTGATATTCTAAAACTCAAATCAGCAAGGTAATTTCTTACCTTTCCTAATATGGGAGATTTAGGCTCACAAGACTTGGTATCCGGCCCATTAGACCATTTACCAAACACAAATCCAGACAAGCCTAACCTCTCTGAATCTGTTCCATTTATTTAAAATAATTATGATAATAACATATTTACTGATATGATAAAATTGCTAATAATATAAAATGAAGAAATTTAGAATGGAAAATGTCTTTGAGAACCATAATATAAAAGATTGTATTAAGGTAAGGCGTAACATGGTATTAATTACAGCTACATTGTTTTCACCGTTAACTATTTCATGTGTGTATATTTTATATCCTCCAAAGAAATTCTCTGGTGCTGTCCTGTGCAAATTATTGCAGTCTATAAGAGATCCATAAATAATTATTAGTAAACTGATTAATTCATCCTGTATGAAAGCACATTTTCTCTTGATAGAATAATAGTGGGAGAAGTAAACAGAGAGAATTGTAACTGACCTTTCAGAATAACACCAAGTATAAACCTACCTTAGTTATTTCAGAAATAGCCAATCATTGAGTTATTTATGTTCACACTACCATGATAAACTTGCTTTTCTTTTAGACTTCAATCAGGAGGAACAAAACATTAACATTTTATGAACTGATGGGAAATGCAAAAAACAGTTTTATTCTCTAAAACCTGCCTAAGTCATCCTGAAGGAGACTTACGGCAAGTACCTCAAAATCAAAATATGTTCTGAGGTCACCTGAAGAAGAAAGAAACATCTTATCATAAAGCAAGAATTTAAACAATGTATATTTTAATTGAAACAAGTTTTACTAAAGGCTTACTTACTAGTCAAAACATTTAACTTTAATATTCTAACAAGAAGGGCATTTTCAAGATAGCCCTTGAGTAAAAGGTAACCAATAAAATTAGTTTGTTAAATAGCCGATTTAAACACTAACATATATGTCTTTCCTGTTATTTATTTTTTCTGACATCATCCTGATGGCTCTTGAATTATTTTGTATCTAGATTCCACTAAATGACACATTACTTTTGTCAAAATTAACTATACTACAGGGAATAATTTTAAAACAGTTATTTGACTCACACTCCATAAAGTTACAGAGAAAGAAGAGCTCTTATGAATTGGTCAATGTTTAGTCCCCAGAATTCTGGCAGGATTGCATATAAATTTCTACAGGAAGGTGACTGATGGGTTTCTTTAAAAATAGTAGACATTTTAAATATTCTACACTATAGAAGATATTTATAAATCCAATCAAGGTATTTTTAAGTATCTTCTATAATGTAGAAGCCCATTACAAATTAGAGACTTACTATTATAGGCTTATCCTAAAAAACTGACACACACTCTTAAAAAAATGATGGGTGCTAGAAAATGCCAGAGAAGTTTCTTCAGAGAAGACATCTAGTCCATTCCAGACAAATGCATGTTTAGGTCATACTTGGGGGGGGGGCAGGGGGTTGAGGAGACAAGAGTGTATTTACTGCTTTGTCTGATGCTCCAGTTGACTACTGAGCCTGCTCTGAGGAACGTCTATATTTTTGTATTTCTAATCTTAATTCTTCCTAATGAAGTTTAAGCCCATTGATCATATTTTAAAGTTTCAGAAATAGTAATAAGTAATGCCCTATGTAAAACTCTCAGCTTATCTGAAACAAAAGATTGTCATCTCTCAGTTTTCTCCAAATGAAGAAATTCCAGTTTTTCCTATTTTTCCTTACAGAGTTCAACTTAAGAGTCCTTTAAACATATTTCCCTTTTTTTTGGTGGCCACTTAGCAAAAGCTATATAGTCATCTTAAGTTGTAGGGCCAAAAATGAGAACTGTACTTCCTCACATCTGGCCATCTAGCTGAGACAGACTGCGTACAGGAAGTTCGAAGCCCATGGCCTACGGAGGTTGGCTTTGTTTAAACTGTGCCAACTTTGCCTATAAAATCGCAATCAAATGAAAACAACAACAGAAAATAAAAAATGAAGTTCCAAGATACCTGTTTCATTGCCTGAAACAAAGTAAATACTACATATCTTAACTTTTTAAAGTTTACTGTAGATATATCTAAAAGTTTAATATTTGGAAGTGGAGAGTTATCAATTAAAAGATGACTCAGTGTGTTACAATATTTTAACATGATACACAAACTCAGGACTTTTTCCTTGCCCTACTTTATGAAGCTATTATAATTTTTAAGCCCACGATAACATGAGTTTACAGAGTTATGAATCTATATCTTGCCTGCCATGCTGTGAGCACATTAAGTCACTACAGAGCCTTCTGATGTATAAACCAACTAAGCAATTATTCTCAGACAAATTAACTACAAACCTGATCCAAATACCTGTAAAAATTGTAAATGAAGGGGGAGTATGTAATAGAAAATGCAAGGTTAAGGCCAAAAAAAAATTAAAGACCCGCAGTATTTACATCATAAAAAATATTTGCATTGACGAGGATATTGTTAGAGAAAAGATTGACAGACAGAAACAGTCCATATGGTGAATGCAATGTTTTTAAAACACTTTTACCTGCAAGGATTTTTCTGGCTTTTATTCAATAAAATCCATTACCCTGGGTGGTAATGGAACTGTGCGCCCTACTCATCTCAAGCGTCTTTAGTCTCCTGAGCTGCCTTAAAGCCTTGATATAATAAAAGGTCAAGCAGCTCCCAGTAAGCATTTGTAAACTACAATAGCCCCCCATTTCAGCTGTAAGCCACACATTCTCCTGCTAAGCTTTGCTCACCCTCTTTTTTCATTTCATTGTATAAGCAGACTAATTTGGAAATGGCTAGGCTAAGGTACTTGGAAACACCTAAATTTTCAAAACAATCACCCTTTCGTACTTAATCACTTAGAAGCAGACCCAACATACAACATTTGACAGAACTGTAAAATGGTGCCTGGACACTAAAGGAATGAACAGCAGATACCAGCACTACTAAATATAATGAATTCATTTCACCTTCCAGCTCAGCCGTGCTTCCCGGGACAACAAGGCACAAACATGAAAAGGCTGGGGTGGGATTTCAAGAAAACTGATTTGTTTCAACATTCATTTGGCAAGATGTTGGACACCAAATAATACCACCAGCCACCTCCCTTTCTCATCGTTGTAAATTCAGGGCCCTCAGTGATCATTCCCCACAAACCCAGTTACAAATAAAGAGAAAAGGCAGGCTCTGAATTCGCACTGAGTTCTATGACACAGATCAAATGACAGGCATCTGTCCTAATAGGTCACAATGAAACTAAGAGACAATAACAAGAATGAATCTCACATTAATCCAAATGAAGCCAATGAGTAATATTAATAATGCAACCAGAAGCATAGTTTCAGAAATATGCAATTACTTCCAAGCATGCAAGGACATTTATAACCCATGCAAATGACTGCACAGCACACTCTACATATTAATATGCTTCCTAAATGTAATATAAATGTTAAAAATCATATATATGAAATGCATATTCATACGGACTACATGTGTACATTCACCATAAAATCCATGTACTAAAAATGAAACTCTGGACCCATCAAATGGTTTCTCAAGAGCACATTAGAATATAAAGTAGAATGCTAAATTCTCAGGCCACCTTTTCTTATCAATGAATATAATAAGCAAAACCACATTCTAATGAGTCCAAGTAGCTCAAGCGACACCAGATATGTTTTTCAAGAAGGCCCAGCCGTATACGTGAGAGCTGCAAATAAAACGACTCCTTTCAATAACATTCCCTTCTGTTGTTAGCTCTTTCCACCCCTTGATTCTGTTGCTAAGCTTGGGAGGAAAGGCACTGAGTGGCTCACTCTGCATTCTGAGCTCGTTTGAGATAAAATCAGAACACCATAAATAAATAAATAAATAAATAAAAATAGGCGGTTGCCTCCTCACTTCTCTCCTCCTGGCAACCTTCCTCTCCTCCAACCCCATCCCTGTCTCCACATTTCCTCTTTCTAGTCTGAGGGAATGGAGTCATTGTTCAAGTGCAGGCCTCGAATGTAAACACAAGTCGTTGAAAAACATGCTAAACCGAGAAGGTAGCTGCACTGTCCCCCACTCACCCTGTTGAGACCCTGAGAAGCTGTTGAAAGGAGAGAGAGATGCAAACTGAATCCATTTTCCTTGTGACCGAGTCGGATGCAGCCTCCGAACCCAACATCAGCAGCGGCTGCTGGGATTTTTTTCCTCCTCCCTCTCTGGTTGGCGACCCTGCGAATAGGATCCACCCTTCCAGCCTCACTAGAGTACCAGCAGCAGAGGCGGCAGCGGCGGAGGCAACAGCAGCAGCAGCATCACCACTTGGGCCTCCTCCCTCTCGGAGGATGGGGTGAGCTCGGAAGCAGCCAGGAACTTGCAGCAGACACCTCCTCTGGCTCCTCCTCTCCTTCCCCCACCCCCACGGCCCCACCCCTGCTGCGGTAGAGGCTGCCGGCCCGGCAGCTGCTGGTTGTCATGGCAATGGCCAATGGTAAGCGACCAGGCTAAGGGGGAGGGGAGATGGGCCAAGCCAGGCGCAGGGGCCGGAGGGGAGCGCGTTTGTGGTGCGGCCCCCTGAGATGCGTTTGGTTGCTCCAACGCTGGACTCAGGTTTTTTAAAAAATGGGCTGAGAGTGGATAGGCACCGTAGGAGAATAGTTAAATTTGATTGAAATCTAGATCGTTACATATGAAAGAGCTTAGCCATTTTCCTACATTTTCTATGGCTTTTCGATAAATGTATTAAATTTGCGATCAGAAAAAATAATAAAAAATGTGAAAGAAAATCATAGTAAAGCATTACTACTCCAAATGTGTCTGTGGTCCAGCCTCCTTTACGCGATGCCCTCGGAGGTTGTTAAAAGGTGCAGTGAGTGGTGGCTGTACTTCGTAATAAAACAAGAGTTTGATCTCTTTGCACCACTTTCTGCGTGTTCTCTGGTGAGTTACTTGGTTTCACTGTTTCTCTGGCTCCCCCCAGCCCAGAAGAAGACTTGGAGGTATTTCCCTGAGGAAAAGGAAGTTGGAATGGAGGACGTGCAAATTCCTCTGAATAACCACGGCTGTCAGTAGCACCAGTTGGTGGACAGTTCCAGACCTTTTCAGTGTCCAACTCCTGGTGTGTTCAATTTCCCGAAGGCAATTCCATGGCATGTTCATGGATGCGCTTTTGGAAATCTCAAGTCAGCTGGCTGTCAGGAGGCAGGAAAAAGGGAAGTGGAATCGGCATTGTGGATTCTAGGAAAGTTCGGTTTCTCACTATAAATTATAGATGACACTAGGATTTATCTCATGCAGTGGTTGTAAAGATTGAATGAGATAATACACTCAGAGCACTGGGCATGTAGTAAGTATACAATACATATTTAGTGTTATTTATTACTATTATGAGTGATACAGTAGTACATTGTAGCCATCTTGTAAACTAAGAGGTTAAGGAAACAACGTGGCAGTTTCAGGATCAAGGTAGAAAAAATAAAGGTGAGAAAACACTAAATATTTGATAGCTGTGATGATGGGGATGATGATAATGGTGGTGGTGGTGGGAAAGACTTGGGGGCCAGCAGAGATTGAATGTTCTCTAAAACTTGCTATTGATGGCACGGTAAATCTTAGAAGAATTCAATAAACTTCCTAAATTCTCACGACTAGTAAACAGCACAGCCGGAATTAAAACGGACTCTTTTCGCACTAATATTTGCTTTTCTAACCTCTACACTTTTCTGCCATTCCTCTGTGGAAGGCAGCAATCTTTATTCTGAACTCAGAGTTATTTATAGGTTCAAATGGGATTAATACAAGATTCAGAGTGAGACCATCTAGGATCCATTTCTTGTGCCAGTTATTTACTGTAAGTATAATTTGGGACACATTAATTAACGACCCTGATCCTGTGTCTATCTGTTAAGTGGAAAATAATCAGAGAACCCCACAAATTGTTGTATAATAAGAATTTAATGGGGTGATGCATGTGAAGCATTAGTACAATGTCTAGTACGTAGTGAGTGTTCAATAAATATTATCTATAATTATTTGTTGCTCACTTGATATTTAAAAAAATGAGAATATGGTTTCCTGCATGGCGTCACTCTTGATTCCAGGGACTTAAAGATAGCCCTGTCGTCTGGGAAAGAGTTGTAGCTAGCTCTCCTTGTTTCTTCCCACTAGAACATAAGCTCTGAGAGGGCAGGACTGAAGCTGGCTCTTAGTCTTATCCCAGGGAAAACCTGCATCTTGCTTTGTGCAATGAATGGTCCCTGTCTTCCACCAGCCCCAACAGTTGCCCACTGTCTGCACACACTTCCAAATCAGCATAATAGAGTGTAGTTGTGTGACAGAAAGGGATGAGTTGTGATCACCTTGCTTCTTTTTGCATTCTGCTCTCTCCACGGAGATGGCCTAATAAGTAAGCAGAGAAGGCAGCTGCAGGCTGTAGAAGCCCAGGTGCCCTGAAGTGACAGAATCTCCTCCACTGGCCTCGTGACAGCATTTCATTATAGGGCCAAGAGCTGACTTCTTGAGGTGAGTGATTATACTTTGTCCCTCTCCTCCCATCAACACAAACACAGAGTCACTGCTTAGGGGTCAACTGGGAGAGAAACAAGGTTGGTGTTTCCTATTTGAACAATTCCTAATTTAACCATTCTAACACTGGTTTCCCATTTTTTTGCCATAACTGTGTAGCACTGTTATCATTGTTCAATTATACTTTTCTTTAAATGTTTATTTGAATTATATTTAATTTACTTGATCTACCATGCATTCATTTTAAAATTAAATTCATCTCTGGCTTTAGAAGAAGAGTAAAAATTGGCATAGTAAAGAGAGTAGGTCCAAAGAAAAGAACCGAAAGCAAATTCTTATTGTGTTAGAAAAACAAACTTCAACTTTATTTATAATTTTTAACTAAAAAGAAAATATAAAATTTCACAGCTATTATAAGCTCCTCCCTAACTGTGCTCTATTTTTCTATATACTACATGTATACTACATAGTATAATGTAGTGTTATATACAGTATATTATAGTTTGATATAGTACACTGTATTATGATAATAATATTAATAATACGTCATATTATTTATTTGTACTTTTAAATATTTTGTTATTGTTTCTTCCCACTAGAACACAAACTCTGAGAGGGCAGGGATTTTTGTTTGTATGTGACCAGTGTCTGGAACATATTGGGTCCTCAGTAAGTATTTGTTGATGAATATGCTGGTGAATAAATAAAATAACAATGTTTTCTATTGAATTATGATCCTATAATTTATTATAATATTATTTGTTCATATACATACATACAGATGGTCCCTAGTTTATAGGTGAGGTAGGTTCCTGAGAACAAGTTGGGTGTTATTCTTACATAACTAGGATCCCTGATGAACAACACGTGTATGGTGATAATAATAACAATACTATAATAACTCATACATGGCAATATAATATAGTGTACTCTTTATGTTCTTTCTTAATTCCAATAAACAGAGCATAAAAACAAGCTCATACAAAAGTTTAGATCGAAAATAAGAGAAATTTCAAAGCAAAATGAAAGGTTAACACCCAACTGGTATTGCATCAATGTGTTGCTTACTGGAAGGAGCCTTTTAAAGGCAAGACAGTAAGCTGACATGAATTGGAAGATGATGATGGAGATGACCCTGGAAAGGATGGAGAGGGGACTGGAGCATCTGGATTGGAGTCTGTTGCTGCAGGAGGGGAGCTGACCACTAACGTCAGTTTCTTGGAAGTGGTATCTAGGGATGTTTGCACAACATTCTCTTTTTCATCATACATGGCCTTGAGGCCACTGATGTTCTCACAGACTGTGTGGTAAATGTTTGCAAACCTCTTGGTGTTAGGATTTTGCACTCAATCTTAGCATATCCTACTTCAATGAGATGAAAGTCCTCAGCTAATTCTTTTGTCATCAGCTTCCTTGGTTGTCTATCTAGGAGACCAGCCATAGGGTAAAGATGCCGCACCAAAGAACTGCTGACACCATGTGGGTTTGTTTACATGTGTGGCAGAAACTAGTTCCCAAATTATTGATTTAATTATTTCACTATAAGTTATCCTTATGGAGAGCCTTCAGAGCCTGTTTGTTAAATACAGAAAACCACAAGTCATGTCGTCCATAACCTGGGGACTGCCTGCATATTGTTGATATTTCTCATAATTAAATACTAAGATAATTATAGTAATTATCTTATTTAGCATGCATGAATATTAGCATCATATTTATTTGACACATATTTTAAAAATGCAAAGCTACTGAAGTAAAAATATTTGCCTGTGTTTATTCAAAGTCACCTACCATATCCTCAGTGGCATGGACAGTGTTCTTTGGGAAACACTGATTTCCTTCTAAGAGCTTCTTGTCCCTAATTGTGACCAAACTTTTTGCCTCTCCTGGGATGTTTCCAACTTTGACTTCTGAATTCTGTGAGATGTCTGAAAAAGCAGAGTGTGGGTCTTGGCTCTAAAAGCTGCATTAAAATTTCAGAAGATACCACAGCATAATGGGAGGAAGCTGCAAAGTGTGCACGCTGGAGACAGACTGCCTGGATTGAGTCCAGGCTTCTTTTGTTTTCTGAGTGACCTTGGGCCAGTTGCTTGGTTTTGCCCTGCCTCAGTTTCTTTATACATGTGTGTATGACATCAAAGCAGTACAAATATCATTAAATTGTTGTTTTGTGGAGTTCTTTATTTTTGCAACTAAAACAATATTACGATCCCACCGTTTTTGTGGGTTAGAAATTTGGGAGTGGCTTAGCTCAAAGCTTCTCGTCCAAGGTCTCCCCTGAGATTGTAGTGAAGCAATCAGCCAGGGTTGCAGTCTCATATGAAGGATTGACTTAGGTAGGAGATCTTCTTCCAAGCACTCTCCCAGAGTTGTTAGAAGTCTTTGATCCCAATGAATTGTTTTGAAGATCAAAGTTAATGTGTGCCAAATGTTAAGGGATACTTGGCATATAATGAATGATAAATAATAGCAATTGATATTGTTATGGACATAAGTTTTAATAACTACGGTTATGCATAGCTTAGTTTTCTGGATATTTTCAAAATACTCAGATCACTCAAGATTATTCACAAAACTTGCTGTTATGACTGCAGACCAGCAACCAGCAAACTATAAGGAATTCTGGAGGTGTTTATCTCAGAAATAG